TCCCTCACGAGCTCCACGACGGACAGTGCCAGGCCACAACATCCCTCTGCGGGCGTGTGATCCTGGTCGACGCAGGTGGCAGCTGCGCCTGCCTGGTGCTCGCGAGTCTGGCCCGGCCCTGCCTCGCCGTGCCGAGCCGCCTCCCACGCCCGGTCGCCCACCTCCGCGCCCCTGCGCACGCAGGAACAATAGATGTGTGAGCAGCATCTACAGTCACCGCTGCCGCGCAAGCGGGAACAACAATGTTGAAGTATAAAAACAGATGCACCACATCACATAAGCATGTCCGTGATCATAGCATAACACAGTAGCATTGCGCAACACCATATCCAAACCATTTACGCATCCAGAAGTTAGAAAACCTCACCCACAAAAATGAAATATTAGTGGCACACAGTGGGAGAACAAACCTTCTGGCGCTTGAATGTACACATATTGCAGAAACACACATGTGGAGAAAGAAGAAAAAATCTTGTATAATCAAAAAGCTGGTAAAAGCTAATTATATATCCCCATGAGCAAAGCGAACTGATAAACGACTAAAAACCAGTTATGTTTCCTAACTTGTGGCAAACATTCATTACATATGGCAAAAAAAATTAATGACCACCTGTTACAGTTTTTAGGTTTCTTGTGAAACCTTCTGACAGTGGTTTAATAAAAAAATATAGTTCCAAATAGAAACTTTGAAAAAGAGTAATGCATATTGATCATCCCAAAGGGTACAGTGCAGAGAAGCAAGAAAAAACACATGGATAAAGTGAACTGCTCTGGTTTCCGAAACAAAGCAAAAATATACAAACAAAGCTGCAAAATTTGACTTCCATGAAGGCTACAAGACTAAATGGAGAAAATCCATCGTCCTACAAGAGCACTGTAACTATTTTTGCCCCCACTCTAACCTATCATGAATTTATCTTCAAGCAACATTTCGTCACAAACCAATCTACCAATTCTTACCATATCAATAAATTCCTGGTGAAACTAAATAGGAGAGTACTTAACAGTTCATTTTGACGTCCATCCGCAAACATTTCTTTCTAGCATGCACATGAGGAAGGTATTAAATCTTTCATACAATCACCACAATCTACATTGGCTAGAAACAATAAAAACGATTGGTGCCGGTAGAAATAATGAGTTGGCCAAGCTGCGTGCCCGACTTCTCAAAATAAGGAATCCTCCAACAGTGATAAAAAGTAGAGTAATCTCCTCAACTAAAGAAGGCAAGGGATGAGACTGACGTTTTTCTGTAACTGGCTTTTAGTTATATGTATGATAAAAAGAAAGGAACAAAGAACACAATAAAAGTGGCTACAAATATATAAGTATAAAAAACGTGCAACTACAGAAGTACCAATTATCTAACAAAAGTATGATGATACTTTCCCGAGATGATTGTCGATTGATACAATGATCTAATCCTCTAATTACCAACTTGACAACTAACCTAATGTCTACAGACACAAAGCAAATACTCTTGGAAAAAAATCGACACACAGAAAAATACAAATGTTCCTGGACCATTCAAAGTGTACATGAAAGCCATACATATGAGTGGACTCCCACGTCCATATGCAAATTTTCAAGCCTAAGATGTGGCTGTACCTTCTTTGGTCAGTTTGACAGCCCCAGCTTCATTAGTCTTTGGATCAGTCTAGGAAAGGCATCTAGGTGATTGGTTCCTATAAATAAATTGGACAATATAAATTTAAACAATTTGTCTTACCCATAAATCTAACAAATCTAAGCTGGAGCTGCAAGCTACGCTGAGACAACCAAAAGTTTAAGGATGAACTGATGAAGAAAAAGTAACCACTTGAAAAGGAAAAGAAATAGGAACAAAAACGATGTCGCTCTACTATCGTATCTCCCAACTCCATTCCCCTAGCTTGCCCTCTCACCTCCCCGCATATCAACCAAAATATCTGATCGAGACCAGACAAAAGCAATGGTGGGAGAGTGATGTGACAACAATGAGCTGGGCCAATGCTCCCAAGAGAAGAGTGTGTCAGTGATGGGCGTCGTCTAGTCGATCCCAGTGGTGATACCTAGGATGTTCTATGTAACAAGTTCACTGCACATTTTTTTTGTCTAAAGCATCACATATATGTGGAAATCATTTAAGAATAATTAAACTATTATAAATATATGTATTTTACAACTTTGAGTTAGTGTCATAAACATATTTGTGCTTGAAAGGAACTGTCGTAAACCTATCGAAATTGAAGAAAGAGTAACAAGATGTGTTAGCATTACCTTGCAGTTGGACCACCATATCCGAGCACATCCTTTGACTGCCCAGCAAAGGTCCTCCCTCTCGCTCAAACAGGAGGCACACACCCAGCTACCAGGCTGTTTCGCATACACGCTGATAATTTTGCCTTGGTTGTAGGCAAGTAGGCCGGTATATTCAGCTATCATCAGGAACTCCTCTTCACAACTGTATTTTGGCGGAAAAAAAATCTACTGAGACCAGATGCATAATCAAGGAGGTAGCTTAGTTTTCAAGGCATAAGATGGGTAAGCTATCCCAAAAAATGAACAACCATCATGCATATCCATATGGGGAGGGAGTATTAATTACTAACCTTGAAGAACTTTCTTTTGGAGAAAATTACTAACCTTGAAGAACTTTTTTTTGAACCTGATGCTGCGGAACGGTCATTATGCCTGCCCAAATAAAAGGAACTGCTTATAACTTGGCAGATTATGCATAGCTAAAAGAATAATTGAGTACTGGATGTTCAAGCATCAAAAACTTTTCAACTGGATGTTCCTTACCACACATCAAGTCAATCTTAACACTTTTCTGACCCCATGTCTTCTTCATTCAGCAGCAACTTAAAAGATTGTACTTAATTATAGAATAAATAAAATGCATATCAGACTTGAGTATATATTATATAAAAGATGTGAGTCCAGAAAGAAGTCCAATTTTAGTCCATGATGTGTAAATAGTCCAATTTTAGTCCATGATGTGTAAATAGTCCATAATGTAGTCTGCTTGGCTAGCGAGCTAGTGTCACCGCACCATTTGTCAACCTCACCCTTTGAGCGTCATCGCTCTCTCGTGATGTGGCTTCCTGGATGCCTTGCCTGCCATCGACCTAGTGCTTAAGTTGTGCACGCCGGAGGAACTACGCGAAGAGGCACTAAAGGGGTGCTCTCCCTCACAAGTATTCCATGGTCAACCACCATAGCGAGCCGAACACCACAGATGCAGGGACCCCTTGACTGACACGTCAACCATGCTTGTTTCAGTAAGAAATTTGCATGCACTTTTAGCGAGTCAAGATATAATTAACTGCCAGTATGCTAGAAGAATAAGTGCAGTAACTTTCGAATGTATTAACAATTTGTATATGGTATCATATTTATGTATTTAATAGGATTTTACACATAACATATCGAGGTTTGATTGCACCTGTGTGTTAAACAAGATACAGACAGATGAATGCAGAACCAACTGATTGGATGGACAGTGAGTGCAGGGCGGTTGGAGACCTCAGAAACAGCCTCTCGAGTGGCTTCCTGCCACCGATGGTCAAGATCATCCTCTGCAACAATGCTGCGTTCATGCTTCAATAACCTAACATTCCCATTTGTAAAGCTCTCCATCCCCTCCTAAAAACAAATATCAGCAACGGTTAATTGGTAACTATGCCACAAACACATTTGTCAGATACATTACGAATAAATAAAATAAGGATAAAAATTGCAGGTAACTTTTAACTGAGATCAGAGCCAGTGAAACATAATGGACCATTGTTTTGTTACATTACATGATCCAAGATCCCTGTACACCAGTGAGGTATGTAATTTACTACGGTATACTCATGGATAAAAAAATCTAGGGACAACGCACCTACTAAACAGTGTGCTTGTTACTCCCAGATTGCGCTCACTGCCACTATGTTGGCAGCAACAGCGGCCATGCCTCCGGTCACAAGTGTACTTCCAGATACTGAAATAGTCTCCATACACAGCTTTGGCAACAAATTTCTATTTTCTGTATCAGAACCTAGAAGTATAGGTTGAATCTATTCTTCAAGACAAATCTAACCAAATTATTTCTTTTAGACTAACCAAAATAATGATACAGAATACAGTCAAAATAATTTTACTGCACGCATTCTATGATGACATCTATCCCCACATGGAGGTTTACAGTAGACAAACAAAGAGCGAAATTCTGGCCTTCACGAAGCAAATCGTGAGGCAGGGATTTCTCTCATCGAACAAGCTTCCTGCTTTACAGGTCGGACACATCGGCTGGCGACCGGCGAGGAAGAGGGCGGAGGTGAGATTGGAAAGGTAGTACTCTGGGGTGGTGGGTGTCTGACGTGTCGAAGTGGAAGGACCAGCCGCGGAGGTAGGGGAAGGCGGGGACGGCGGGGGCGGCGAGCACCTCGACGCAGGAGGCGGCGGAGGATTGGAGGGACTGCAGCCTCGACGGGGCCGACACGGCCAGGCGAGGGGAGCCGGCGTCGTCCACGCCGCCGCCACGCAACTGGAGCGCGAACGCGAGGAGGGCGAGCGCGAGCAGTTGGGCGGTGAGGAGGAGCAGGAGGTGGCACCACGCCGCGGCGCCGCTGCCGACGCGGTGGAGGACGGCGACCGGAGATCGGGCCGAGGGCGACGCGCCGACGCCAGAGAAGAGCACAACCCTAGGTGGTGGGGGCGGCCGCGACGAGAGGTGGCGGGGGCGGCAGCGATGGGCGGCGGCTTTTGAGGGAGGGAGATGGGGGAGGGGATCGGCGGCGGCTGCGAGGGCAAGGGCGGCGGCGAAGGATCTGGTGGGGCGTCGCCAGGAGTGAGGGAGGAGATGGGGGCGAGTGAAGGATCTGACAGGTGTTTTCGATACGATGACGAAAATAAACCGATGTACGATGACGAAAAAAACCCGGTGATGGGAGTATGACGAAAAAAAACCAGCAAAAATTGACCGGACGACTATTCCAAATCGTCCATTAGGAGTAGAGATTCCCCTGGTCCCTTCACCTTGTGACGTGAACAATGAACTCCTGCATATCCTGCCACGACGAGCCGCCCTTGGAAACGGCTGCACGTGCGTCTTCGGCAAGCGCCTTGGCCGTGTTGCCCATAGCGATTCCTTGGTCGGAGTTGGACCCCATTGCCCTCTTGATGACCTCTTGGATGGCCGTGGCGGGCAGCGTCTCCCGGTTCTTCTCCCACGGCCGAACGATGATGCCCTCCCGGAGATGGTTGCACACGTACTGCGCGTTCCACGGCTGATCAGAGTGCATCGGCCATCCGAGGATTGGTTTCCCGTGACTTAGGCTTTCCAGTATCGAGTTCCAGCCGCAGTGGCTCATGAAAGCAGCTGTTGCGCCGTGCGCCAGGATCTCCAACTGCGGTGCCCACCCTGTGATCACCACCCCTCTCCCTTGGATCTTATCCCTGAATGCGTGCAGGAGATGGGCATGCCGGCTCTCGCCAGCCTCTCCCATTTCGTCCGCGCGGTCGGCGTCGCGCAGCACCCAGATGAACCGCTGCTCGCTGTGGTGCAGCGCGGTCGCCAGCTCCTGGATTTGGATGCTTGACAGCGAAGAAATTGTGCCAAAGGACACGTACAACACCGACGCCGGCGGTTGCGCGTCGAGCCACTCTAGGCAATCGTGGCGTAGGTTTGGGGCTTTGCCTAGCAGCCGGTTTAGTGGTCCGATTAAGAAGACCTTCTTGCCGCCAGCACGAGCCAGGCCCTTGCGGCAGGTATCGATGAACTGGCCCTCGAGGGCGTTGAACGAGTTGAGAAGCAGTCCAGCGCCGGATACGCGGAGCCGGCGCTGCCGCTGCATCATCTCCATGAACTCCTGGGTGAAGATGGACTCAGGGGGCGGCGGAGGCAGACCGAGGGCGCTCACCAGGGGGTGCCTTGGGTCCCTCAGCACGGTGCAGAACGATTGCCCCAGGCAACAAAGGGCGTACGACTCGCCGTTGGGGAGACGCGACGCCTCCGCTGCCGGGAAGCCCACCGTAATGTCGTGCACGACCACGACCCGACGGCGCGAGGCAGCGAGCTCGTCCAGGAGGCGCCTTAGCGGGGCCGCGGCGTGGTCACAGAACACGTCGAGGGCCGACTGCAGGTGGCATGGGAACGCGTGCCAGTGGTCGGGGTCGGGCGGTGCCGTCCCGTAGGCCCGCCGGATGTCGAGGACACAGAAGTGGAGCGAGGTGAGAGTGGCCGCGTCCCAGCCCTGCACGCGCGAACGCGCCTGGAGGATGTGCGGCGCGGGCGCTGCGTAGTGGACGTCCAGCCCACGTGACGAGAGGAGCAGAGACAAGTTGAGCATTGGGTTGAGGTGCCCCTGCACCGGGAGAGGCACGGCCACGATTACCACCCCCTCTTGCGACATGCCGGTTCCTGATGATGTGCTATTTCGATGTCAAATACTGTATTTGTAGCACCAGCGATGGCACGCGGCTCTATTTGTAGCACATGCCCGTACACAAGCTGCTGGGTGGATTCCAGCGCCAGGCTAGCTCAACAATTGTATGCAAATTTGTAATGGATATACCTAGACACAGTTTAATTGGGAGAAATGATTGCAGGCTTGTCGCAATGATACATATGCTTAGTCAAACTCATTGATGATCACATTATTAGCCTATACTTTAAAAAAAGTTTTAATGAATTTCATGCGGGATTAAGTATACTCCTGTCACTTAGAAAAATGGGCTACCGTACCTGTAGGTACATAGTCAAACCCATTGATGATCACATTATTGGGAAATTTTCAAGTGTTGCGACATGATAACACACGATCACATTATTGCGGAGTACTCCCTCCTTTCCAGTTTATAGGGCTTATCTCAAAATTTTAGTTTTTTCATTTTATAAGGCTCAATTTGGTTGTTTCCCATTACATGTTCAGATGCATTAAATCATTGCATGCAAGTATTGAGAGAAAATTGACCAATGCATGTACTTTATGCATGCATGCATTTCAATTAATGCATTGGTAAACATAATTTTTTGAGAAAAAAGAGCATTAATTAGGTGCTTTTGTAAACTACAAAAAGTATTCCACCACTCACCATCTACCTTGGATGGTGAGATTTTTAAATTGAACCTTATAAACCGGAAAGGAGGGAAGAAAGTTTGGGATTAGACTATAGCTCAAGCACCAGAATAAAATTAATGGACACTAATCCGCAAAAAAGTAATAATTAATGGATACACGTTAGACGTGGTTTAATTAGGAAATATATTGACCGCTTTGTCGAAGCGATATATTTATACTCCCTCCGTTCCAAACTATAGTGCTTCCCCTATTCCCGTGTTTTAACTTTGACCATAAATTTAACCAACGAGACCGACTACGGCCGGAGCAAAAGTTATACCAGTAAATTCGTATTCAAAAGAAGTTTTCAATTATATATTTTTTTCTTCCACCGCAGTCGGTCTCGTTGGTTGTGGACATGTGGTTAAAGTTAGACCTTAGAAAATGTGGGCACACTATATTTTGGAATGGAGGGAGTACATTCTATTGGGCTAAATGCAGTCCAGACAAATGATACAATGAAGGGATAATTAGATTTATGCCCCTAGTTGTGTCCCACTCGTCTGTTTTACCCCTAATTCTCAAAAGTCACCGGTTCTGTCCAACTCACTTTGCTCCTCTTATGCTTTTGCCCTTTGACCGTTTGACTGTTAGTTTGAAAACTTCGTAACTAATTCATACTAAATCAGAAAAATGCAAATAAGATATCAAAATGTTCAGAAAAACATCACCTATATGTCAGTGTCATTTGCATTCATGAAAAAGTGTTAGAAAGTGCCCATCCGAGTTTTAGCTCTTATGCTACCACCATGAATAGTGAAATCTAAAAAAGTTCAAAAAAATTCAAAAAAAATTGGTGGCAAAGAATGACAAATGTTTTAAGTGCCCGCCAAGTTTCATCAGGGAATAACATTCATGGGTGCCGCGGCAAAAAAAACAATCAACACTCCAAAATAGATTATTATTTTGCCACGACTTCCATGAATGTCGTTCCCTAATGAAACTTGGCAAGCACTTAGAACATTTGTCATACTTTGCCACCATATTTTTGTTTGAGTTTTTTTGAATTTTTTTAGAGTTTACTATTCATGGTGGTATCAAAAGAGCTAAAACTCGGATGTGCACTTTCCAACACTTTTTTAATGAATGCAAATGACACTGACATATAGGTGATGTTTTTCTGAACATTTTGGTATCTTATTTGCATTTTTCTGATTTAGTATGAATTAGTTATGAAGTTTTCAAACTGACAGTCAAACGGTCAAAGGGCAAAAGCATAAGAGGAGCAAAGTGACTTGGACAGAACTGATGACTTTTGGGAATTAGGGGTAAAACAGACGAGTGAGACACAACTAGGGGCATAAATCTAATTATCCCTACAATGAACGCCGAGTGGGATGAATTATATTACTTTGAAAATAGGCGACCAGACCTATATATCTGTCGATATGCATAGAAAGTTCCTAAAATCTAAAAAGTGGCCGCGCACAGTTTAGACGGAACGAGCGGCCGGCTCAGAGCCGCTCGATCTCGTCCCGATCGACGATGCGTACGCTCCAGGTGTTCCCTGGTCGGATAGTGGGCCGCGCCGCTCAAACCAGCGCGTGGACCGGTTGCTTGGTCCGTTTGCGCCGCGCCACGCTATAATATACTCCCCGTGGACCCACATGTCATAGGGTGATGTTAGGCAGTTCCCAGCGTGTAGTGGGCGGCGGTTTCGAATTTCGTGCCATTACCCCGTCCACCCCTCACCTGTCGTCGCCCATTCCTCCTCTTTCCCCTTGCTATCGCCGCTGTTGGTGCTTGGAGGCGGCTCCAAATCCGTCGCTGGTTGTGGTCGACGGCGGGGCGCGCCGCAAGGGTCGTCGTCCGCAGCGGCACAGGTACTGCTCCTACCATGCGTTCCCCGGTACTCGTCCCCGACCCCTCCCTTTTTCCCGGTGAGGTCGCCCGTTTTCCGATGAGGTCGAGGTAGAGGTCGAACTCGAGGTCACGGTTGGGGTTAGGTAGGTCGAAGTCATTTTCCGGCGAGGTTGAGGTCACCCGCGCGGACTACTTCGTTTGGGAAACCGCCGGATTGGCAGGGACGGGGTAGGGTCGTGCTCATCCCGTCGTTTTTGTGTTGCAATAGGGGGAGAGTTCGTGTATATACATATGGGATGAGTGGTTCAGGGAGGATGATTGGTTAGCCCTGGCCATAGGTTCGTCTGTGGATTTTAGCCTCGCGGTGGATCTGGTGTTTTTAATGAGTGTTTTCCCCCCTCGGTGTGCAACTGTGTTTCCCCTTGCGTGCAGATTAGGAGCAGTAGTAGACAATTTTTGAGACAATATAGCCAATGTGTCAGCCTTGTGGTGGTTCTCATGGGTCATGTGTTTTTCCCTACTGTGTGCAATTAGGGACCATTTTTGTGCAAATCAGCACCTATGCTTGCCAATTTCCCAACATTAACTAGCCAAGCTGCCATCCTTTGTGATTGATCTGGTGGTTCATGTGTTTTCCCGCTGCTGTGTGCAACTAGGAACCCTTGTTTGCAAAGCACCAAGGCTTGCCATTTTTTGCAATATAGTGTACCCAATCTGCCAGCCTTGTTGTGGATTTGGTGGTCCACGTGTTTTTTTATTCTACTGTGTGCAAATAGATATAATCACTTGTGCAAATTAGTACTTCCTTGACGGCACGGGGGTGGCTGGCCAGGGTCAACGTGTAGTTGGCTAGGGTACACGGTAGTCGTTAGGTAGAAGGGATGCATGCCCACGACGCCCGTTGCGATTTTAGGGCGATTTGGCTCTTTAGTTCATGTTCCGCTCAATTTTTGCAGAGGTTTGAGATCTGTTCATGATTCTTAGTCATTCTGCAAGTTGTATTAGATGCGCACAATGTTGTGTGCAGTGCATTGGCTGATTTTCCCTGATTTTGTAGTTGGTTGGTGTTCAGTAATTAAAGTGGTTAGTTGCACAAAATTCTGCTCAGTTGGCTGCGTCCATATAGTACTTGGCTGTCCATATGCTCTGCAGTTGCAGCAGTTGTTTTGGTCAGTTGGCTCACTGTCTGTACTAGTTGGTTGTCTATACGATGTTCAGTTGCACAAGTTGCCTGCTCAGTTGGCTGCATCACTTTCACTAGTTGGCTGTTCATATGTTATACACTTTGTGCTAGTTGCTATACTTAGTTGGCACAAGTTATCTTACTGAGCTTGTTGCCTTTAGTTAACTATTTTCTGCCTAGTTATTACTTGTCACAGTTGGCAAGTAATAGCTAGGCATAAAATAGTTAGTTGGCTTATATGCTGTCCAGTTTGCACAAGGTTCACTGCCCAGTTGGCTACATCATTGTAGTAGTTGGTTGTCCACATGTTTTTTGGTTTTTTGCATTTTGTGTCCTGCTTATGTGTAGATGTCTGCAGATCAAAGCAAACCTTCTATGATTTTTCTAGTTTGTTTCCGCATCTTCTAACTATGTTTTCTTTTGTTGTATTTCCTCCCGCAGGGCAAAAATGGTTATAATAGGAGGAGATGTGGATGGCAATGAAGAAGATGTATTTTTTTTCACTTTTTCTATGTTTTTGAGCTGGTTCCAACTTATGCACGTATGCTAATGTCCCATTTTTATGTTTTCTTTTTGGGTTGCTTAATCAGCATTCTGGAAGTTAGTCGCTTCGCTGGAAGTCGAAGCGTCCTGCTAATCGCCAGCCACGACCTGCGCGGAGTGTTGAGCAGGGAGAGGATGTTGAGGTAAGTGGCATGCTGATGACACAAGCCCATTTTCGGTTTTGTTTGGGTCATATAATTTTTTTTATTTTTTTTTCATGCTCATGTTTTTTTATTTTTTTTCTTAGGATGCTGATCAGTTCCGTGTTGTAAAGCGGACTAGACGTGCAACACTTGGAAAGGGAGTTGAGTCATCTTCTAGGGTAAGTAAATTCGCGATTATAAGTGTTTCTCGCTTTTTAGACGCTGATGAAGTTATGCAGCAGTACTCACCACTATTTTTGTGTCCTTTTGTTTTTAGTTTGTCAATAACAACCTTGTAGTTGACATCTCTAGTCATCTTGATCTAAATACAATTGACATTAGTTGGCATCTTGTAGTTGACAAGTTGGCTTCTTTATAGTTGACATCACTGGTCATTTTTTTGTGCAGGCAGCAGTTGCTGGAGGAGCTATCGCATCTTCCGCACCAGATGCTGAGGTATGTGTTTTTTTTTCTGTTTATGAGCTATTGAACAGTTCCTTGCAAACCTTTTTTTAGTTGTCGTTATCTTGTTGCAATATCATTTCTTATTGTTGCACATCCGCTAGAACTTTTTGTAGTTGCCACATATCGTATATTTTCTTAGTTTTTTTTGAAGGTTG